GATAAAGATCAAAAGCCTTTGGTATGGATCACACCTCAATGTAAAGAAAGCAAAAATCCTCACAACTGGACCAATAAATGACATCATAATATAGATGGAGAAACGATTGAAGCTGTCATTTTGCTCGGATCCACCATCAACACTCATGGAAGCAGCAATCCAGAAATCAAACGATGTATTGCATTAGTCAAATCTTCTGACCTCTTTAAAGTGTTGAAGAGCAAAGATGTCAGTTTGAGGACTAAGGTGCTCCTGACTGAAGCCATGACATTTTTAATAGCCTCATATGCCTGTGAAAGTTGAACAATGAATAAGGAAGACCGTAGAAGAATTGATGCCTTTGAGTTATGGCGTTGGAGGAGAATATTGAAAGTGCCATGGGCTGCCAGAAGAACAAACCAATCTGTGTTGGAAGAAGTGCAGCCAGAGTGCTCCTTGGAGGCCGGGATGGTGAGATTTTGCTCATACTTTGAGCATGTCATCAGGGGGACCAGTCCCTGGAGAAAGACATGATGCTTGGTAAAGTGGAGGGGCAGCGGTAAAGAGAAAGACCCCAAATGAGGTGGACTGGCATAGTGGCAGCATCAATGGACTCTAGGGTTACAACAATTTTGAGGTGGGTGCAGGACTGGGCAGTGTGTCATTCTGTTGTGCTTGACGTTTCTTTGAGTCAGAACCAATTTGACTGCACCTAACAAGAAACCAATGTGGCACTGTGGGTGAATGCGCCAGACTGCAAAGCCATTTGAATTACAAGGTCGGCAGTTCAAGCTCACCAGCTGCTCCTTGGAAACCCTATACAGGGTCGCTATGGGTTGGAATCAACTCGACGACACTTCACAACAACAAGAAACTAGACCCAGTGACACCAATGGATTCTGACTGACAGAGACCTTGTAGGTCAGAGTAGAACTACCCCTGTGGGTTCCCAAGGCTACAAGTCTTTACAAAGCAGGTGACCTCATCTCTCTCCAGTGGAGCAGCTTGTGGGTTTGAATCTTGGATCTTTCAGTCAGCAGTCAAGCGCTTAAACACCACACCACCAGGGCTCTCGAAAGAGGAAATCCCAGTATTGGAAATGATTTGATTCTCTTTGTACAGAATGCCAGCACAAACCTGTTGGGGTCTTTGAGGTAAACTCGGGATCAAAGTGGAAGGTGTCCTCTGGTCTGCCCACAGCTGGCTTGAAGGGAGGCTTGATCTCCTTCCGATACAACTTCTAGGAGGGAAGGAAGACAGAGTCACACAGAGGCCTGAGAACGCTGGGGGGGTAGGGGGGCAGGAGTGAGGCCTGGGGAGACCGAGTCACACAGACACCCAGGACCCTGAGGTAGGGGGCAGGAGTGAGCCCTGGGGAGACCGAGTCACACAGAAACCCGGGGACCCTGAGGGTTTGTTGTTTTCAATCACCCTGTTAAGTTCCATCCCACCTGGTAAAGTGGAGGACCCTCAATGAGGTGGGCTAACACACCAAATGGGCGCAGCTGGAAGTGTGACTGTGAGGTAAGGATCAGACAGTGCTTCCTGCTGGCTGCACGAGTCCCTAGGACATGAACTGACTCAACCTCGACAGTCTGGGGATTTATGTAACTGTGTCAGGGTCGTGAGAACAGGAGCTGAGTGCCGCCCCAGGGTGCAGGATGTTTGCTAACACGACCTTAGCAGCCACTCCAGTGATGGCCTCTTCTCATAACTTTGTCTCTCATGCTGTGGACATGTTGTTAGGAAGTTCCAGTCCCCGGAGAAGGAGATCATGCTTAGTTAAAGAGGAGGGTCAGCAAAAAAGAGGACGACCCCCAATGAGATGGACTGCACAGGGGCAGGAGCGGTGGGCTCAAACAGAACAATGATCGTGGGCATGGGGCAGGACCGGACAGTGATTTCTTCTGTTGTTCACAGGGTCGGTACGAGTCAGAACTCTCTAAATGTCAACAACAGTAAGTGTTCTCCGGGGGCCACTCCAATCCTTGGAGTAGCGTGTGGACATGAGGGGGCAGCATGTGACTGAACAGAAAGAAGCTGGGCATCAGAGGTCGGTCAGTGGGACTCGGACTGAAAATGGACAGAGATGTGTCTCTGCCATTTGGTTTGGATCCGTGTGGATGTAGGTTCCGCCAACCACACTAGAAAGAGAAGGTCTGGTCTACAAACCACAGGCTAGGGTCCTTGACTTGTGGGGTGGGACCAACAGCAGGGTTAAGAACCAGGGGGATGTGGCAACCCCAGGGTGTGATTTTCCTTGTCCTCGGCTCCACAATTCTTGCTCTGGAGACCCGGGGATCCCCAGCATCAGGTGAGTCTGGGGCCCTGGTATTTTGGGCCCAGCTCGTGTGCAAAGGCAGATGGCTCCTACCCAATGAGGAAACTGAGGCAAGGTCAACACAAGAAAGGGGGGCATAAGGCTGGCACCGGGCTCCTGATTGCCAAGGGCGGGTCTCCCTGGGGGACCTGGTGCCACAGAAGGGTTGGGGGGTGCACAGATGGTAGGTGGAGGGAGTAAGCACCTGCTACCCCCAGGATGAGATGGGGCTGCCCCTGGACGTGACTGGTAGAGGTTTCTGTGCCCACTTGTACCAGTTGAGAGCTCTGCCGGGCCCCCGCGAGGCGAGGAAAGCGAGTGAAGAGTGTTCAGGAGTTGCTGAGCTACTCTGGAGCTCCCGCCCCCCGAAAGCGTGAGGTGCTCTTTGTAGCGAAACGCCTGTGGTTCCTGTCATTGAGTTCTCCAGACTCGCGGTGAAGCATTTCCCAGTCCTGCACCAGCCCCAAGACCAGTGCAGATTGAATGGCGGTGACCTGTAGGGTCTTCAGTTTTTGACGTAAACTGCCAGGCATTTCTTCCTAGTCTTCTTAGTCTTCAAGCACCGCCAAAGCTTGCTCAGCATTGCCAAAATGAGAAAACCCATCGAGGTGATTCTGACTCCTAGTGATCCCACAGGACGGAGCAGAGTTACCATGTAAGATCTCTGGGGCTAAATCTGATAGCCTCATCTTTCTCTCTCAGAGAGGCTGGTGGGTTTGAATATCCGACCTTATGGTTATCCATCTAACACCTAACCCACAAAGCAACAGGCAAGCCACCAGAGATGGGTGCGTTGGCCAGGAATTGAACCATGTGGGAGGTGACTTGGGAAGAGTTTCTCGGTGCCCCACATGCTGGAGGAGACCTAAGGAGGAGACAGCTCCTCACTGTCATGAGAACCTCTGTGTGGCCGCCAAGGGCCCCCGCTCGTTGGTGACACTGGAGCTGGGGTGAACACAAACGTCTGTCCTGTAGCACAGTAGCCCTGGTCTGACTCTCCTCACGGTGCTCTGTAAACCTTCACCCAACTCACAACACAGTTAGGAACTAAATAAATCTAGACTTGCAGATCCGTGAGGATGCGACAAGACCTTTCTAGATAATTGAAGGCCTCTCGTGATAAAGCAAGAAACAGATTCCAGTCTGGGGTCCCAGACCCCACCGTCTGCACCCATGAAGAACTGTGCTGTGGGCATCCAAAGTAAAGGCACCCTGAGGGACGGTCCACACATGAAGGGAGGAGGACGCAGTGATCTCTGGGTTTCACTGGCCCCTTGAGGTCTCCTGCACCGATTCACGTCCTCCGGGAGCCATTCCAGACAACATACCATACTCCCCAAGCAGCCCAGCCAAGGATGACGGCTCACTGCAGAGAAAAGGCCCCTGACCAGCTCCCACAGGAGGGACATTATGCTCCTTTCTACTAAGGGGGATTTTTTGTTTTGTTTTGTTTACATTGAGA